AAAAAAGAAAAAAAAAAAAGAAAACCTCAGCATATATAATCCATAACTCCTCTAACCATGATTATAATCATGGTGGTTTATTAAGAGTTAAGACTTTAAGAGTGTTATACTAAATATCGGCTGATCCGCTCAGAATTTAATCTCTTAAAAAATTATGCATAAACAAAACATGAACTCACTTTTTTTTTTGTTAAAAGCCTAAACTTTTATTTTGGGTTAAAATAAATAAAGAAATAAATAATGATTTCTGACTAATTTTGTGACCCAATTGAACCGCCTCAAACCACCTCGTGGACCAAATAGATTTTTCAAAATTTTGCATCAAAATCGCAAAGCTATTGAACCGCCTCCGGTTCGAAGACTAATCGACTGTCTCGAACGATTTTTAAAACAGTGGTAAATATACTCCATGAATTAAGGGACACTCGTCTATGCATACAATAAGTTATTCTTTGAATTTATGATGTTTTAGTTTTTCAATAATTAAGTAGATATATATCAATCATGTGACGCAATAAATCTGGATTCCTCCACATTAATTTTGAGGTGTATTGTAATATTGGATTGCATATAATTGCAAATACTTGAATTCCATACATTAATTGATGTAACATAAAAACAGCACAACATACTGACATTTTTTGTTGAGCATCTTTAATGCCCGAAAGGTCTCATCATAGCTTTACCATCATAATTAATTAATATGTTTTGGAATAGTTTAATTATTATTTATTAAATTAAAACGAATAGATCTAATCAATTCAATTTATGTGAATTTAATGTTTTAGCTGAACCTACGATAGCCAGGCGTGGAAATCTTAATTAGTTTTTTTTTTTTTTTTTTTTTTGATAATTGAAAGCTTTGTTAGTTAAATAAATAATAGTAAATTACTTGTATAAATTAATAAATCTATTAATTTAAAAGAATATTAAATTATCGAACTAATAATTTAGTTTATTTTAATTGAGTCGGGATCGAAAGAAATTATTATTTAAGCGAAATTATTAATTTGTCTTTTATGTCATTATTTAGTGATATTTTTTTGTTATTTTAAGTGATTTGTAAACATAATATGCATAATTAATCATCATTTGTCTAAATTAAAAAATTACTATTTATGAAGAAGAGGTACCAAGGGTGACGCAATAAATAAATTTTAATTTTTATATGTCCCTCCTCATTATTAAGATGGTGGATTTTGGACATGCATAATTGATTTCGACACATTAATTGTTGTGTGTAACAAAAACAATACTTCTACTTATGTAGCAAATTAATTAAATGTCCATGCAATATATAGATAGTAATGTTGGTGGTTTCTTTATCCTCTGTCCGTAATAATAGTTTTGCATAGGGAGCCATCTATAAAATTTAAAGAAAGTGCAACAAAAACTAAATTCACTTTAATTAAGGGTATATATATATATATATATATATATATATATATATATATATATATATATACCAACACTTGACTTAAAACTTCGATAAATTGATACCTAACAACTATAGCAAATGACGAATACGTTCATGATAAGAGCAATTCTAATGGATTATCAAACATGGTATTCAAATCATTAACCACTATTTATACACCAAAAAATAGAAATTTTTAACTCCAATGGAGTTGTTAAATTAGGATTCTATTTTGATAATTCAACTTTTGGGATGTAAAAATACTTGTTGAAAATTGAGTTATCAAAAGTGAAACTATCTAAACATCCAATCAAAAGTAGACATGTGACAATTACAAATAAAATCACTCATAAACTTTCAATTGATAATTAGTTTGACAACCATGGTTGGAGTAGATGAATTTTAATCAATATTAAAATATTATCTCAAATATCAAATGAATATTTGTTAATTCAATTTTGATATTTAGCATTAGAGTTGCTCTAAGGGACTTAAAATATACATATAGGTCAAGACAAAAAGTAGTCTTGCAAATAAACCCATGTCCATGTATTTTATCTAAAATGCCCTCCATAATATAATTTTCATCAATTCCATCCGCTGCATTCTAACTTCATCAATATTGCAGATTGACCCCGGATTTGAAAAAATATACCACTAACCCCCATTTTTATAAAAAAATTCAGAAAATAATTTTTTTCTGATTTTTTTTTTCTGGCCAGATTGCGGCATTGACCTTTTTTTTTTATAAACTTTTTTTTCTGAATTTTTTTTTCCGGCCAGTCAACCGGCGTTGATTTTTTTTCTCTCTCTAAATTACTGTGTTAACAACAAAATTATTGTTTGAGCTAGTACTATTAAATGTCAAAATAGTAATATTGCTAATATTACTGTCCCAAACAGTAATATTACTGTTTCGAACACTAATATTACTGTCCCGAACAACAATATTACTAATATTACTGTCCCAAATAGTAATATTATTGCACGAGACAAGAATATTACGGTCGGAGACAGTAATATTAAGGTCGGAGATAGTAATATTATGGTTGATGACATCAAAATTGCGGCAAAGACGATAAAATTAAGGTTGCCGCTATATGCCAGACTAATTCCACTTGTGCAAGATGAAATTAAAATTTTCAATGTATAAATACTATAATACCCTTATTTGTTAAAAAAATAA